AATTAATGAATTAAATTTTAGTAACAATATAAATTTATTCATTATAATTGTTTATCTTTTTATTTTATCTTTATTTTTTTTTTTTTAAAACTAAATTATAATAATAAACTTTTTACAGTTTTTTGATTCTTGTTAAATGGTGATATTTGTGATAACAATTTTATGGCTTAACTTTTGGACTACTCTTGTCAGTTAATTGCAAATAATTCAATGCTTGTCAATTAATTAGTTTATGAATTTACTTTGGTTCTTGATTACTGCACCTAGACAAGTCTGTGAGCACACTGAATGGTACCAGATAAATGTAAATAAATAAAGGTGGCCTTTTACAATGCTATAAAGTTCCTTTTATTCCCTTGTGATTGATTTATTTCAGTTTTTTGCCTTATTTACATTTATTGGCCAATTGCAAGCTCATTTTGGTTTACTTGCAAAACAACACAAGTAGTAGCTTGTTTAACAGCTTTACAATTGCAATAATACTATCAGTATTCCCAATTAACCTTTGGACAATACTTCATTTAGCCAACATTAATTAGCCCAAACCTTTGCTTACTCACTAAAAGCAAATTATGTTACTAATCGTTGTTAACACTCGCTAGTTAACCAATGTTACTAATCTTGCTTGTTTGCTCACTAATGTTTGGAGCCAAAAGTTTGGGGTGCGGTAGAATTTTATTTTATTTATATTATTGGCGCATGTAAATAAATGTGGGTTTTTACCAATGCTCCACAATTGTTACCTTTTACCAAGGTACTTTTGTCAAACAAAGAAATAAAGACAATGTTTTTCATTTTTAAAAGTTTATTAACGATTAATTTTATTTAATAAAAATAATTGATCGCCTATTATTTTCCTCTGCGAGGATCAAAAGTTATGATTTAATGGCAGCGAATTTGACGTGTAATAGTTTTACAACTTTGGACAAAAGAAAAAACATACATTTGTTCAAAAAAAAAAAATTTACAAATTCTTATTCAAATAAACTTTCAATGTAGTTCGAATAAAACAAATAATTCGAATGAACCTTATTTGTAGACACCCTAGTAATAGCGAACTATTAATGGCGGCGAATTAAGAGATATAATAATAATATTAACAATAACAACAATGATGGCGGTAACAATCAATACCGGCAAGCTTAGTACCATCTGAGAAGTTTTTAACCAACTGGGATTTATTTACAAAAGAAATAGACGGTAAAAATATAAAAACAAATGATTTTTAGTGAATTCATAAAAATATATTACTTGCCTAGTAAAATTAATTCATAAAAAATTTATCCAAGTTCTTGGCCAGCTAAAAAAAATTTCTCGCAGAATTTAATGACACGGACACTTGGTTGAGATGAGTCCATCTGCATTACTTTAGTACTTAGAATGACAAATAACATATATTTGCTCAAAAAAAAAATTTTTTTTACAATACTCGTTGCAGGACAAAGTAATTATTCAAATTTATTCATTTTATTTGTTTTATTCGAATAAACCTTCAATCTAATTTGAATACTCAATTCATAACGAATTATTCGAATAAACCTTATTCGAACTGTTGAATAATAATAATAAAGGAGGGATATTATAATAATAATAGTAAATAATAGTAAAAATAATTAATAATATATGACGTAACTAAAGTATTGACTAAAGATAGTTTCTCACCAGTACCATTTTGACGATTTGACTAAATTAAAAGCCCTTGACATAAATAAAACCACTTGACGAAGTAAAAGCGCTTGATACAAGTAAAACACTTGATACAAGAAAGAATTATTATATCATTGTGTGTATATTGCAAGAAGAATAATTATTTATAAATGCTATAATTTGAATTATAAATTTTATTTTCAAAATAAAAATTCCTCTTCTTTTACATTTCACATAATCAAATTGTCTTTACATGCATATGAGTTGTGTTAAATTGACTTTTGAAGTTAGTTAATTACGCATAATAGTAATACGCAGTAACATTAATAATGTGCTTGAGTTGTATTTAGTGTCTAAGTTTGAAGCAACATAGGTTGATCAATATTGGTGGTACTTAGAACGACCTTTACATAGCACATAAGACAGTACATATTTTTGTAGGTTTTAATTTAGTTTTCTATTTTTATCACTTTCAAAGAATGCTGAAATTATTTTATTGTTGAATCGCGATAAATCGATCACTAGAGTTTAGTGATGATGAAGTTGTTCTTTAAATAATGCAATTTTCGCTTTTCAACTTACATCCTTATTATTAACAATTAATCTTGTTAGGATTCGTGCCTTTTACTTACACAACGATTTCACTCAGGTCAAGACAATAATCTATTTTATTAATTAACAAGATTTAACTGAGTATTTGTGTGAGCTTTTTATAACAGATAATATAAGAACTAAATAAGAATATGTGTTAAATTAATGTAAATGATTTATATATTTTTATTAGTTAAACTTAGTAATAATGATAAATTAGGTAGAATAAAAAAAGATCATAATTTAATTAGTGTATTCTTAAATTTTGTAATCCATCAGTATTGATCTTTTCTAATCTCTTATATTCTTCTAAAGCTGCTTTAGAAATCTTTAATTGTGAATAGTCAAACCCTAAAATGTGTAGTTTTTCTAAAGAAGGACTCGACTCATTGTAACATATATTTGACCTTTAGCAAACATGTTATTATATTCATAAGAAACATATTGGAATCAATAGAGTTTTTAGTAGTTGGATTATAAATTTTTCATTTGATAATGAAATGGTCTCTTGTGTTGTCTTCAACATAAGAATTATTTTGCACTACACCAGAAAATATCAAAATTTGGCTTTGGTTCATTGGCAAGTCTTCGGTTAAATCCTCATTGTCATTAACAATGATCGTTTGTATTAAGTGTAGCTAAATTTCAAAAACATTTACTTAATATAAAAACAAAAATTTCAAAAAGATATTAATATTATTTTAATTATGTATTTAGTGTTATCTTCAAGCGCAAATCGACCAATTAGAACAATTAAAGTTTTTTCGTTAAAGTTGACAATATTTTCATCTTTATTAAAAAATCCTTTAAACAATAATTCTCTAAAACCGCCTATTTCTGTCCTGTATATCGCAGTACCAGATATACTATTGATAGTTGTAACAACTGATTTAATGAAACAATTTGAAATGAATACTGATGACATAATTTTTTTTAAAAAATATTTAATATTGGTGTGGAATTAGTATGGATTTTTTTAAATAATTGAATATTTATGAATAAATATATGAATTTTAACGAATGAATTTTTTTTGATAATTGAATATTTTGTTGTAAATAAATATAACGAAGCCATATTTTTATAATATTTACTATTACCTTACTAATAAATTTATTATCTTATTGATATGGAATTGGAAGAACTTAAAAGGCTATCATTAATTGTTGGTAATGTAATAAATAAATTTACAAAAAAAAAGAATGTATTCATTTACAAAAATTGTCTATTACTATTCATTTTACAAAAAAACGTTTATTTGAAAAGAATAATTTGCCAAAAAAAAAAATTTATCAAAATAATTTACATCTTTTTTTTTTCCTTATAAATACAACATTTGTACCAAAAGAATTTATTCGGGGTATCAATGATCATGATCATTGATAATAAATAATAAAATTGATTATTAAAGATTGATTATTAATAATTATCAGTTATTATCAATGATCATGATCAATGATAAAAAAAATATAAATAGAATGGCCGTCCCCACATTTTTTTTTCATAATCTCTCTCTTCTCTCTCTCTTTCGACCAAACTTAACCCCTTATTATTATTACATTCATTCACAAATCAGAATTTCTTTTAAACCTTTTTGATTTAAAGAAATTTAATCCCTTATACTCATCATTTATGACATTGTCGTCTACTTTTAAGCAGTCAAAATCAAAAGACACAATGTCCAACGACTTCTAGGAAGAAGTTCGACTCATCGCCACGTAGATTTGTCCTGGTGCAAACACGTTATGGTCTACAGTCAAGGTTGCATGTGGCAGTGTTAGGCCTCAAGTCTTGTGCACTGCAGGGTTGGCAAATTGACTGGTCCATTGCCATTAGTAAAATACTAAATATGGTTAAAATGGACCCAATAGACCACCAATGGACCATTCTGCAACGGAAATTGATACCTTGATGCCGATAATTAAAGGTAGGTGCTGACAAATGAAGGCGTTTATTTGGTCTGAATTAATGTTTATTTGGTCTAATTAATGTCATTCAATAGGGAATAGTACAAGATGAAGAAGCATCGGAAAAAAATTTTTCCGAGTGGGCTGATAACGACTTCAAAAAATTAAAAAGGTTGTTGGAAGATATTATCCCACTCGTCAGATTTCATGAAATCTCTATAAGTGATTTCATTGAAAAAATAGAAAAATATACGAAGATATATTTTTTTATTTTCCGTACACCTATTTTAAAAAAAACATCCAAGTCTGCGGCATTAAATAAGTAAGTACCAGAGAAAAATTACTGACTGTAATGATGTTAGAAACCATTTATTTATTTATAAAGTTTTTTTTTTATTTACATAGATGGGCATGAAAAAAAAATTTCCGAGTGGGCTGATAATGACTTCAAAAAATTAAAAAGGTTGTTGGAAGATATTATCCCACTCGTCAGATTTCATGAAATCTCTATAAGTGATTT